AAAATATCGGTGTAACGATATTTAGGCGAAGGAAGATGGAAGTCGAAATGTTATTGCGATATATTGGCAAATAATCGATATTTTGTCTGATATATCGGCTATAAAATATGAAATGTTATTTTTCGGATATTTTTTTTATATATCGATATCTTACTTAAAATATATCAAACTAAATATATTCAATATTACATTGACTATGACCAATTTGATCAAAATTTCTTAATTAATTAATTGGTCTCATTAATTTAATTAATACAATTATAAGCCTAGATTAGTTAATAATTTTAATCTCAGAAAATTTAAAACAATATTACCATTGAATGATTTTGCATTTAAACAACTCTGAATTTCTGAAAATCAAAGATATATCATTATTTTCATAGTGTATGTCTTCTTACTCTTCTCGGCGCTGAGTTGACAAAATATCATATAATGAAAAATTATTTCGGCAGCAAATGAAGAAATTTTTCATTCTATCAAATTACAATTCAATTGCCTTCGATGGCATATGTTGTCCTGATGTCGAAGCCTTGCCTTTGTAGCTCACTCCCGCTTTATGTTCGTGCTTTTCTCCTCAAAGCAAACACAGAGCTAAGCAAATATAATAAGTATTTATTTCAGTTCCGACCATTGAATACCCAGCCCACAAATATATTTTGGCAGTACATATAATATATACTGAGAACCAATCATTGTAGATTTTTGGTGCCTGCCTAGAGGACATATTCATTTTATCATTTTAGAGCTCTTATAAAAGATTGCAGATGTAAAAGTGTATATTACTTAAATTATTATTATTATATTATTTATAGTTCAAATTTTTAATATTATACAGACTTGTAAAAAAAAAGTACGTATTAAATCTCCTATCTACAGTTTCCGCCATTCCAATACACACTCATATCCTTCGAGTATCGGGTATCAAAATACACAAACACACCAGCAAACACACACACACATAGATTACAAATCTAATAATCAGCTTGCCACCTAACGAATGGGAAAATGTTGATGGTGGAAATGCGAGGAGGAAAAGCCATAGGAACGATGAGAAAAGTGTGGCAAAGTTCGAAGGGAGCAAAGGAGAGGAGGGACAAAGGAGAAGGGGGGAAATGCGGTTACTGCTGGCGGTGACATTTGAATTTTTGGCCATTTTAGCGCAAATTTCTTCATTCTTTTTTGGTTTCGTTTGTTGTTGGTACTGTTTATTTGTTTCTGGGCTACCCTACTCATGATTGTTTGGTTGGATTTGGTTCGGTGCGGCGGGTGCTCTTTTCTTTTCCCTCAGTTCTTGTGCTCTTTTGCCAGAAAATAACGTGACATGCATAAATAATTGACTTTTCACAAAATGCGCCATGGCAGCGCCAACAAACAACAAACAAACAAAGGCAGTGGGAACAAGAACAAAAACCAACAATAACAAATGCGGACTGGAAGAAGCGGAAATGAAATATGGCGGAATGGTAAAAATGGCGAAATAGTGAATGCCAAAATGGCGGCGGCCATATTGTATTTGTAAGCAGGCGCGAGCGGGAAAGCGAGAGAGAGAGCGCATACAAAATGCCATAAAATATTTATTTGCAACGTGAAAGCAGCTGCCACATGACGAAGGAAAAGTCCCGATGAACGAGATAAGAGAGGGAGAGAAAAAGAGAGGCGCAGGATCAGCGATAAATATATTTATATATATATATACATTTTAAAATCAGCCCAAGTGGCACATCCACTTCCCATTGATTTCCCTGCCATCCAAATATTGGTCCTGATTGACAATTAATCAACTAAATGGACCCGTTATTCTAACCATCTTTATAAACAAAGTATTCGCTGGGAATGTACACAATGCATATTCATCTAAACGGACAAATCAATTTGCCAAAATGAAAGGCAAACAAAGCCGAGATATTGGCCAACAACAAAAGGGCAAACAGAGTGGAAAAAGGAAAATTCCAACGGACTATGAACTGAAGTCCGAACTAAAAGCATAAATATTTAGAGAGAATCTATTTTACAAAAATAAACCGACCCACCAATTGTTGACTAAAGCATTTACAACATTGTTGAATGACCATCGAGAACAAGACTTTGGGGCATATTGGACAGGATTCTATTTTTTGTATATTTTTCTTGAACATTCTAAAGCTAAGAGATCACATTGAAGGCTTTTACCACTATTCGTATATATTTTAGGCTTTCTTTTACCATGCCCTAACGGAAATAATGTTTTTTTTAATGTTTTTCAATAAATAAATTTTATAAAAACCTGAAAAGAAATAAATATACCTTAAACATTTTCAAGAACACGCCTTAAAAGCTTTTCTATAATCCCTACAATTTGAATGGCCAACCATCGAGTCTGGCCCATATTTTAGTGGCAGTTTTTTCGACAATTTGTCGCAAAGTTGTGCTTTTTTCTACAGCGCTTCTGGTTTTTATGACCAATTTATAAACTCGGCTCTACTGCGAAAGTGAACGAACAAATACTTTTACTTCCATTGTGTCCCCTCACCCTCCCCCCCATAATAATTTATAAGCCATTTCTGCGGAACTGTTGCTGTTTTCTGGCACTTCTGGTGAAGCATTTACTCACATGAGGGCGGGGGGCATGGGAAGGCTCGCTTCGAATGGTCAATTTGTTGGAGGCCATTCAGAATTATTAATGGGCTGGCTTTGTTAGTTTTCCAGGGGATGAAGGAATACCCATTTTCTGGGAGAGTAAATTCAATTTTGGTTAAAATGTTTTCAATGTAACTGCTTGCCTGGAGCCCTGTAATTGCATATGGTGTGGTGACATATGCCAAAAATGTGACTGCAATTCAGAAAGGAAACGAGAAACGAGAAACGAGCAGCGAGCCCCGACGAGACACGAACATTTTTGGGGGACATTTTGTGCAGTCGTCTGAGCCGGACTGAGAAGGACTTGAATGTCTGTGCATTGTCCTTTCGGTGTTTTGCCCCGTTGTGTTGTGTACTTTATGACTTGTAGTCACTCGAGATGTCCTCCGCTGTCCTGCGCCCCCTTCGTCCTTTTTGTAGCATTTCAAAAGTTTTGCAGTGCGATTGCAGGCAAACATTTTCAACATTGTAGTTGTTGCTGCTGCGGTGGTTGCTATTTGGGTTTTTAGCATGTGACGCCATTTGTGGCACAGTCTGGAGAGAGCCCCAAGCCTCCCATCACCACTCCCGCCTGGAAACTACGCAAGCTGAAAGCAAAAGCAAAAGCAAGAGCCCAAAAACCCAATAGCCTTTTTTTACCCACACTCCTCAAGTAGAAATGGAACCAGAAAGGATCTGGAATTCTTAGTTCAAAACCCACACGACGCCTGCTCACACACTCTCGTACCCTTTCCCTATGCCTTGAGTCCTGTGTGTTCCAAAACCCATCTGTGTGTGTGTGTACAAGTTTTCAAGTGTTGAAAGAACATTGTTGTTGTTGTCGTTGCCGTTTCTATTGTTACTTGTCCATACCCTCAAAAAAAAAGGGATTGTACAAGGATACACTCGAATTAATTAAGTAATATCAACTTTGAAAAAGTATTTTTTGAGATTTTTAAGAAATTCAAAGAGAAGAAAACGTCAGAAATTTTTATAATATTTCCTATATTTTATATGTTCTCCTAGGAAATATAATTTCAAATCTAATTTCAAACTATGCTTTATCCAGTAAAAATCTCGAAAACCCACAGCTTAATCAATTAGAAGAGCATACTCTTTTGAAGGACTCTCTTCCAGGGTGCTAACCAAGTCTCAAAGTTTGACCAACCTTTTTCACTTATTTGCTGTACTAGTCACGGGCTTCCGTTTTGTTTTATTTTCCGACTTGGACAGGACTGCCAATGCCTGCCACCTTACCCACCTTGGAGCTCCGAGGAAGGGACTAGAGAAAAAGAGGAAATTTTTTGCCTTCGCTTCACCGCTTTGTTTACGACCAAATCCAAAACAATGGCATTTTTGCACATGAGCGCATTCGAGCCAAGTTCTGCTGGCTGTCGTCATACACTTAAACTAAACTTTTCAGCTGCTGCCGAGCTTTTCCATGCTCCTTCCGTGTGACTAAAAGTCTTCCTGGCCTCGACTTGTGCTGCATATTTAATCCTTTTCCCAGGCTCCCTCTGGCCAGAAGTGAATTATTACGGGCATCTTTCCGGCTCAAACCGAAGGGTGATATCGGGGCCAGAGGGAAAGCGGGCAGCGACAAGGATATTTCGAGGAGAAGAAGGAGCAGTAGTTTGCTCCTTTGGAATTGCAATTGCCCGAATCATTCGACTCATTGGCTTGCCATTTCTGTTTTTTTTTTCCTTGCACTTTTCCCCAACTCATCTTTGTTTGCCGTTCGCATTAGTAATACAAATTGCACGGGAAAAGTTCAACAAACTGCATTAAAAATGGAGCAAATACAGAGAAAGAGAGCGCTTGAAAAACCCCAAACACATCCAGGATGATGGTAAAAAATGTGCTGGGTCCAAGCTCAGGCTGTTTTTTATTGCCATTTTATCGATTTAATATCTGTGCGATTTGGGGAGTTTTGAAAGGCAAACTTTTCCCAAATGTCCTTCCAAAAAGGTTAAAAGAATTTATAAGCTTAATAATTTAGAAAAATTGATTCAATTTGTTCAAGGAATTGCAAGTAAATAAATTATGTAGGTGCTTGCCAAATAACAATGTTAATAAACTATTTTAGAGTCGGAAAATATTGAGAACTACTGAGAAAATGTATTATATCACCATCTATATTTTTTAATTTATTTAATTTCTATTTTTAGTAATCGAAAATAACTCAAACTTAATATAAATTTGATTTACAACCTAGTGAAGTACAAAAATAAATACAGAAACAGCTCTCATAAATTCCATTAAACTCTATATATAAAAATATTTATACAGCGTATAGTCTTAATTGAGTATATATCCAATGAAATCGCAATGCGAAATTGAGTTTATGGGAAATGCATTAAAAAACAAGAAGGTAAATAAATATTCGTGAATAAAAATCAACTTACCATCGATATTAATTGGCGGAACCGCAACGCACTTTTGGTTCCGATTGGTTTGCTTCAATTCGTATTGGGTTGGATGCTGGAAAAAAACAAAAATCCGGAAAAATCCGAAATGGAAATATGAATAAATTGCTTTATGACGGCAGCAAGAAATCGATGAATCAAATGCACGGTTAAGCAATAAAGCCAAAGCCATCCGTTTAATAAATGTCCTGGCTGGACAGCCTATCGTCTGCGAGGATATATAATGATGATTACTTATTGGCCACAGGACAGTGGCTTAGTAGGAGAGGGGGCAGTTGGGGCTAACGATTTTATATATTTCACTTAACAGCTTTATAAGACTTTCGTATTAAGAAAACATTTAGGCTATCGCAAGCAATCAATCTGAACAGTAGACCTTAATTAAAACAATGTCCCTTCTTAAGTCCTCCTTCACCCCTCTTCAGCCAAGACCATTATTTAACAATACCATTTTGTATGTTTATTGACTTTATCGAGTGTCAAAAATAGCATCACAATCAGCAGAGCTAATAAAAACACAAACATCAAGTTGGCAAATAAAAACCTCCAGCCAAAGCCACAGAGCGAGCGGGAAAGGACGAAACATCGAATGTCGAGCACTAAATCAAAAAATAGAAAAGCAGTGGGAAAACATTATGAAATCAGCGAGGCTCAGCCCCCAGCGGGCGCTCTCCCAGCTGAAAAGGGAAAAAGTTTTGGCGAAGGAACATTACTTGGAAGTATACTTATGTCATATTATTGACGATGATGGCAAATGAAGCGAGAGGAGCGTTGGAAATGAGGCGGGGATCAAGGGGGGGGGGACGTGCCTGTCTGTCAGCAATTTCATCAGCTTAAACTGATGACAGTTGAAAAATGTGCTTCGACTTTTTTCCTCCTTTCTACCATTTTTCCTGGCTGTTTTTCTATATTTAAAAATACATAAAATGGCGGTTGACATTTGACGGGAGAAGAAAAAAAACCGCGAGAGAAATTAACACTGAGGGAAATTTGTTTTTATTAGCATCGACCTATATTTGTTAGCATTCGTAATTGCAGACTTGAGGGAAATATTTCAAGCTTACTTTTGTGAGATTTGTAAAAGCTTAAGAAATGGGAATTTTTGTCATGTTTCTGTTTCTATTTCAAGTAGTTTCTCTTAAAAGAACACAAAAACTTACTTCATTTTTACGCACTTAAAAACATTATTAAGTGAAAATGAATCATCGAATTCAGATCAATCTTGTTCCTGATTGAAGTTCAATTTCAAAGGATTCTGGCTATAGATTTCTTTTCAGTGCAGTTAGCTGTCAATGACGAGTTTCTTGTTAGGCTACAGAGGCAGTCAGAGGCAGCTGCGTGACATTTTGCAAAGTGTGACTCCTCAGCCTTATGCAAATGACTTGCGCTGCCTTTGAGCGCTGATGTTTTTCGTTTTTTTGTTCTCTTTGGAGAAGGCCTTAGTGCGGCTTTCCGAAAATCAAACAGTAAATCGAAAGCAAGCGCCGCAGGTGTCCTATGACATTCAAGCCAGGCGTTTGTGCCACAAAGTGTCAAGCATATCAGACGACAAATCGGCCACAAACAGTGTCAAATATTGCCACCGCAGTGGCAGGCCACACCCGAGCACCACCCACATAACCCGGAAACCCCGGAACCACCCACAGCAGCACATACAGTACCATACCGCAAGTGGGAAAGTTATATCCTGCCCCATCCCCCGCAAAACTTTCCACACGCCGGAACAATTTGCTTGGCTCGGAGACAAAGCCCTCGGCCGAGGCTGTCCTCTGCATAGCAAATATTGCTTGTAATTTAATTAATCTCCCACGAAAGTATGAAAGTTTGACCTGAAGCTAATGAGAATGGGAATGGGAATGGATTGTGGGATTAGCACAGTAAACTTTTGCAGCTGGAAAACTATGCGTGGCTTATGCAATAAAGTTGAAGTGGTGTTTAAAAGAAGGCTATAGCAATTTCCAGTGGCTCTGGAATAAATTATATTATTTTATAAAATATTTAAAAATTAAATATGTTATTTCAATCAGACTGCATGTGTCAACGTTTCCAGTAACATTTTTAAATAGCGCTGAAGTTGAGACAAAGTAATTAAAAAGCATAACGTCATAGCATTACCACCGCCTCTAATACAAACATTTTAAAACGCAATTTACTGTTTTGGAATTAATGAAATCTGTCAATCTCAAATATTTGTTTTGACTAGCTCACTTAACGAGCCCTCACTGTTTCCGCATCAATTTTTGGATATCAATTAAATGCAAAACACAAACACAAAACAAGGACGTTGGGTGGAGCGACGAAAATCTATTAGGATGTTAGCCGAAAAGTTTTGCCAATTCTGGCACGCACTTTGATTAATTTTAAGACAATAATCATTAAGGAGGTTCAGTCTGCCCTGACTTCGTCTCACTCGCTCCCGCTTTAATGCGTTTACGTGCCTGCGAGAATCTCTATAGCATACTTATCCGGCTGGCGCTCATAGAGAACCCAGGCACGTCTCCTGCTCCATAGTACGAGTATTTTGCCTCCTTTCCTTTCCGGGTTAGTTAATTTCGCCGCCTCGCAGGCAGGAACTTTAAGTCGATGGAAAACTTAATCAAAGTTCCTTACGGCTACCCGTAGCTCTGGCGCTCAGCTCCTTCTGGTCCTGCAGCTGGAAAAGTTTCTCTTTCGGGTCGGTTTGGTTCGGCTTGGTTTGGTTTTGGCCCAAAAGAGTTTTGGGCACGCAACACTACGGCCAATGGCTTCGTTAACTCGTTCGGGGGCTTCCCTCTTGGTTTTCTGTTTTCACCTGGCCAAACGGTTTGCGTGTTTGGATGTTATTTATAATATGCTAAGCTCCTTGCTCGCCTCTCATTTTGGCCTCGTCTGAAGCTCGCCGGAAGCCTTCAACTTGACCAAGGCAGCAAGGCAAATAAGGAAAAGCACACTACTTAAAGATCTTACACTGAAAAATATGAAAAATTCTTTTAGAGTTTTCTTAAGATCGTGAATGGATAACAATAATAGTTAAGAACTTTCCTTTTAACAATTATGGATATAATGCATTAAAACGAAGTCCGAGTTAAAAAGTTGATGGTCAATCTTGTGGCTCTACTTTTTCTTCAATTTAAAATTGTTTTCCTTAATTTATTGTTATATTATTTGTATAATTTTTGCTATATTATGTTTGGAGTAACCGCTTTGGAAATGAAAATGAAGCCTGAGCACCCTGAACCTCAGGCACCACTTAACATTTCTTTAATTTTCCCATTAGATTTTATTAATATAACTTTATAAATAATAACTTTATGACTAATTTTGTACACTGTTAGACACCTTGCCTTCTTCTCTGGCCACTCTTCCCACCGAGACTCTTCAATGGGGTTTGCCTTTGTGGCTTTTAACTTTTAATTGGATTTCAGTTTTTGGCTTAGTTAATGGCTAAATGAGTTCAACACTCGCTCCTGTCGCAGTTGTTTTTATTGCTGTTGTTGGTGGTCTATGCAAAATATTAGCGCATAATTTTAACAATTACTTCCACCGACTGACCACTGAAAACCCCATTGCCAGGCCCTCGGCTGCTTAATCATTTGCATATTTCATTCGAATTTCAACGCTTCACTCGGTGTTCCTTTGAATAATTGTCCTACAGCAAAAGTCTGCTAGTTTAAGCTGTGATGTTCAAAAATTAAGTTAAGTTTTCTATTCAGCAGATGGCAATCCCTACTTTAACTTGTTTTAATTCAAAGAATCTTCTGGGCTACCTTTCTCCCATCAAAGGTCAGTTGATCCTTGCGGTCCGCACATTCCTGAGAATAATTTCCATATTAGGTTCATTGAGATGGATTAAAAGGAGGTCTATGAAACGAACACAAAAAAAAACGAGAAAATTCCTCACTCAGCTTAACCAAAAATTTCTTAACAAGCAAAATGCCAAATGCCACCCAGAGAGTCATACCCCAAAAATCCGAATTTAACCTCTTATCACCCCCGGAACACATTCCGACCCGCACCACCCGTGTAAACACATTCAGCGGCATCAACAATTTATCACGGCAAACTGAACGAAATCTCATTTGCAAAAGAAGTCGGAAAAATGGGCGGGGAAAAAAGTTCACCAATGTTTGGGGGGCGGGGGTTCCTTCAGAGCTTGTCAAACTGTTTGGGCGGGGAGTGGGAGTGAAAGAAAAAAACCAAAAAATAAAACATGACCAGACGGAAGCTGCGACAAAGCAAATTTATGTTTTGGGGCAACAAAAGCCAGGAAAAGCGAAAGGAAATGCGTGCAAAAAGGGTTCTGGGGAGTCTGGAAAGTTGAGGGAAATAAATAAGGAAATAACGTTTAACTTTCGCCGTGGCGAGGGGCAATCAAATTGTACAAGCTGTGCCTGGGGAGAGTTTTCCATCTCCCGGATTTGCCTCCTTGCCTCATTTATCAAAATCACCAGAAGAAATAAAGAAATATGAGCGTCGAGTCGGGCAATTTACAATGCTGATCCCAATATGATTGCCATGCGGAAAGAACTAGGAAGAGTGAGAGTTGGCAAAAATATATCCTTTTTTCCTTTGTCCGTTGGCATTGAAAAATGAAAAATTTTCACCAGGAGCCAAAAAACAAAGGAGAGAAGTCAACAAGCACCGAGTGGATGCAGGCACTTGGTCGCCATTAGAGGAATGTGTCACCTAGCTCGCTCACACCCCTCACATCCTTCGTCTAAATTGTCCTTTTGGCCACTGGCAAAATTGTTGCAGCCAAATTTACGCAAACATTTGGCTCCAGCAATCTCGAGACTTTACGGGGTGACTCAACTTGGACTCTCCGGGAGTGTGTGTGCCGGGTCTTTGTCTCGGTCTGGTTAATGGTGCACGAGGACTTTAAACTTTTTTATTGTCAACGGAAAAGTTTTGGTCGCCACCTCGTTTATGCTTTGCATGAACTCCACATTTTATTCGAGAAGTATACAAAATTTTGAAGATGGAAGAGTAAGATAAAATACGAGGGAGTGACTCTGTTAAAGTTAGACAATTCATAGCAGTCGGTTTTCTCATTTATTATTTATTTTATATTAATAT